CAACCAAGGAAGTTCTACTATGGAAACACACCACAGCTGCTGAATACAAGTTAGTAAATTTTCATCCTGAAAAAAAAAAGTTTCCAAGCTCAAGAAGATACTATTGCTGATGGTTGAGAAGCATCTAGATTTCATATCATCTGTGCAGCTCCAGATTTTAATTTCAAAAAATTCTGCACTGGCTGGACATCCCCTTAAATGAACAAATTTCTTCAATTTGGGGGTTAAATGTCATTTATGGAACAAGAAGAGCAAGGGGATTTGGTTTAAAGCACTGGCTTACAATGCCAGCACTTTAGCTTAAAAGGTTTGTGAACTGAAGCCTGGAACTGCTGTCTAAATAAGATGATCCTGGCCATAAGCCAGATCCACTGCCCACCTAAGATAGATAGATAGATAGATAGATAGATAGATAGATAGATAGATAGATAGATAGATAGATAGATAGATAGATAGGTAGGTAGGTAGGTAGGTAGGTAGGTAGGTAGGTAGGTAGGTAGGTAGGTAGATAGGTAGACAGACAGACAGACAGACAGATAGATAGATAGATAGATCTTGCTTGCTCTCAAAGTGGGCACATATGTAACACACATTTAAACATACTATATACAACATATGTATAGACCTACACCCTTACATATAAGCAATATGTAAATATTAATCACTGCCCATCTTGAATACATACCGAAAGGAGGAAGCTTTAGAGTTCACAATGTTTATACTGTATGGAACAAATCTGGATGTGACTGAATCTGGATGTTCTGCTTCAGATACCACGGAGCCTCCTCCCGGAAGGTAACAAGGAAAACAGGTCATGAAGAGGATATGTAGTATCCCAGACAATCTTGTAGATCCTGCTCAAGCAACGCTTATATACCATGTCCTGGATGGAAGGGAGGGAACTGCCAATAATCTTTTCAGCCATCCTCACCACTCTCTGCACCGCTTTCCTGTCTGAAGCAGTGATTCTTCTAAACCAGGCTGTGATGCTGTATGACAGGATGCTCTCAATCGTCCCTCTGTAGAAAGTGGTAAGGACTGGGGAAGGAAGATGTACTTTTCTCATGTGACACAGAAAATTCAGGCACTGCTGTGCCCGCTTCACCAGGGTCTTGGGTGATATGAGCACCAAATGTTTGCTATATAGAATAAGGTCTCTTCTGTTTGCTACCCGTGCTCTAGTACAGGTAATCCTTGACTTGTGACCATTTGTTTAATAATGATTCAAAGTTATGACAGCTTTGGAAAAAAAGTCATTTATGTCACATCCTCACAGTTACAAGTCGTGCTACCCCTGTGTCTCTTGATCACAGTTTGAGACCTTAGCAACCAGCTCGCATTTATGGCAGTTGCAATATCTTGTGGTCATGAGATCCTGATTTGTGACTTCCCAGTTGTCTTCCAACAAGCAAAGTCAACTGGGAAAGTCAGATTTGCTTAACGACCCCATGTTTTGCTTAATGACTATGTGATTTGCTTCACGGTCACAGTAAAAATGGTCATAAAATTGAGTCTGGTCATGTGATGACTCACTTAATAATCACATCACTTAGTGACCAAAATTCTAGTCCCAACTGTGGTTGTAAATTGAGGACTACCTATAATAACTAATCCATTTCACTGTAGTCTTGTTTTAATGATAACATGTTGCTGTGCAAGGAAGGTGGATCATTTCTTTGTAAGAAAAGAGGGAGAAAGATGGGCAGCTAAGAAGTTTGATACATAAATAAATATATAAGAAATGGAATCTTTGAAAAAAGAATACAGTAGCTGGGAAAAGATACACCAGAACGATTAATAAATCAATTACTAAAGGACTGAAGCACAATGCGGTTCAAATTTCTTTTAATACAAGGACGAAATTTGGTACTGACATATAAGAAATTGGTACTGACATATAAGAAGGTTATATGCAGAAATAATTCAGGCTTGTTAGTAAAACCCAGGCATGTTAGTGAAGACTTTCTCACATTCTTAAATAAACCAATCATAGTCCAAGCATGTAAATAAAAACTTGCTCATATTATTTACATATCATATAAATTTTACAGGCGGCTGTTACATATAAGCTGGGTTGACAAGATCAGAAATGAGGAGGTGATAAGGAGGGAAAGCCAAGGGAAATCATCAAAACAATTAAAAAACAAAAGTTGGAATATTTTGCACATGTGATGCGACACCCAGAAAAATACGGCATACTCCATTTCATCCTCCAGGAAAAGATTGAAGGCAAACAAGGTCCAGGCAGAAGAAGAACATCATGGCTTCAAAATCTAAGGAACTGGTTTGGACAAAACTCAGCAGCACTTTTTCATGCAGCTGCTGATAAAAACAGGATCGCAAATATGATCGCCAACATCCAATAACAGATATGGCACAAGAAGAAGAGTCAATAAATAAAGACTTACGTTTGGAAAATTTGCATAAAAATACGACTCCTGGGCATGTCTGTGGTACAAATAAAATACGAACACCAGGAGAGTATAAATATAAAAATATACTTTACTAAAAGCTGCCAAGCTTTCGTTTGGAAACTCCAAACATCATCAGGGCTAAGGAGCCAGTAAACAATGATGACTTAAATGGGTTTTGCCAGCATCTGCAGCTGGCTCATGGACCGTGTCACTGGTCCCGGCCGGTTAATTAGTGTTCCAGATGTTTCTTTATTACTCTCCTTACGCTTCCTTCTATGGTTCTTCCGGATCATTCCTTCCACTATCTCATTACTGGCATTCATCTCCTCCACCACCCCTTTATCCTTATTTCCTTCCATAGTACTGACCCTCCTCCCCTTTTTGTTTTCATTTTCCACCCTGGGGGCATCTGTTTCTCCTCTATCAGTGTTACAAGCTTCCCTGGGCTCACAGACGCTCCCCCCCCACACGCCTTTCTCAATCCCTGCTCCACACCCTTTCTTCTCACTCCTCCACTGTCATGAGTAACTTTCATACGGGTGTTGCATATTTGGGGGTCTATGCCCTCCTCCTCCATCCTGGCAATCTTCGTGTCGACAGTTCTCCACCATTCCATTTGTTTGCTGCATGATCGGGTGCTTACTCCGTCTCTCAATTCATAATCCCCCCTCCTCCCTATCACATGCTCATCCCCATTGCTGATAGGGACGGTATTCAGGCGGACACCAGGTCTCCAGATCTCTGCATTCTGATTCCCCGCGTTCTCACTCTCCTCTCCTGTGCTTGTCTTTGGAGGGACTTCAAAATGTTCGTCCCAAGGGGGGGCTGTATTGTTGGTGGGGGTATTCCTTGTCTGCAGGGAGTCCAGGCAGAACTCCGTGTCTCTCCCTTTCACCGTATGCCTAGGCAATCGAGCTGTGCTTTCGTTCTTCTTCTCCCCCCTACCCACAGCGTCAGGCTGCAGACTCCTCATGCTGGATCTTCCACACTCTCCACAGTTGTTGTTAAGTTCTGGGGGTGGGGGTCTGTCGTGGTGATATTGGGGAAGGGGGAGATCTTCCATCGGTGGATGATTACGTGTGTTTGACAGTGGTAGCCTTCTCAGACGTTCATTAGAGTGGTATTGGTGTTAATCGGGCGAAACAGGGGTGCCCCTGGAGTGTAGAGGGTTGGCCAAAGCTCCATCTATCTGTTCAGGATGGGGGCCAGGTATCTCGTCACGTTTACAGCTGTACAAGCATTGTTCGGACCACTTATAATGATTGGCATGGTGTTTAAAATCCCATTTCCTCAATGCTTGTTGCGCTGGATGTAAGTCAATGTGACGATTAACCGCATCTTTGTTGGAATACCATGCCTCTTTCAATAGCCGGCCTCCCTTAGTGGCATCCTCAGACATAACGTGAACATTCACAAAGTCAAACTGATGGCCATGTTGTGTCATATGCATCCACAATTGAGAATGCTGCTCGCCCCTTCTTATAGCTAACTGATGTTCATGCAAGCGAGATCTTAAACGCTTAGCTGTTTCACTCACATAATTGCCATCGCAGTTCTTGCAATTGATTTTATAAATTACTGCTGATCTATCCATGGCAGGGAGTGGGTCCTTGGGGCGAACGACTTTGGACCGTAATGTCTGATTGGGTCTGTGGGCCACTTCTATTCCATGGGGGGCCAGCAGTCTGGCTGTTGCTTCCGAGACGTTATTAATATATGGTAAGGAAACACGCATTCTTTGTAATAATGGTTCCTCTCTCTTTTGGTTGTTCCAGGACTGGGGTGTAAGACCGTACTGTCTGATAAACCTCAAAGGATACCCATTACGTTGACAAATCCGGAAAAGGTATTGCCTTTCTTTCTTCTTAAACTCCTCAGTGCTGCAGTGGGAGTCCACGCGCTTAAACAATGCTTTAATGCAGCTAGCTTTATGAGATACGGGGTGGTTGCTCCTATAGTGGAGTATTCTGTCCGTGTGGGTGGGTTTACGAAACACCCCTGTAAGTAACGACCCATCCAACTGGCGGTATATTGACACGTCCAGGAAGGCTAAGTGACCTTGTTTTTCTTCCTCCACTGTAAACTGGATGTCGGAGCAGATCGAGTTTAGTACTCTCATAAAGGTAGCTACATGTTGTTTTTTTAACAATCGCAAATGTGTCATCCACGTACCGAACCCAAAATTTGGGTTGGTATAATGCCATAGCCCTGTGTTCTAGCTGTTGGAGTACTATTTCCGCTATAGTGCTAGAAATGGGGGAGCCCATGGGTGTCCCTTTAACTTGTTCAAAGATGGTACCCTGGAAGGTGAAATAGGTGGTAAGACATATTTCCACTAATCGCAGGAGGTCATCTGTCTGAAGGGAGTCCTGGTGGTGGCTCCCTTCTGTATTCCTCAAGCGCTCTCCCAGGGCTGAAATAGCTAAGTCCTGGGGGATGGATGTGAAGAGGGAGGTAACGTCAAACGATACCATCCTCTCATCATCCTCCACCCTAAGGGTCTTAATTCTATTGAGGAATTCTTCTGCAGAATTGACCGTTGTGGGGCTGCCTTCCACAAGGTGGCCCAGACGAGTGCTAAGCCACTTCGCTAATCCCGATGTAGGGGCACCTATAAATGACACGATAGGGCGAAGTGGGGTGCCTTCCTTGTGGATTTTTGGGAGCCCGTAAAATCTAGCGAGCGCCGTGTCACGGGGGCGTATCTTCTTTAGGGTATCATCTCTGATTTTCTTACTGCGTTTAAGATTATTAAGCAGTTTGTTGATTTTATTCCTAAGGGTAACTGAGGGATCCTTCTCAACTATCCTATAGGCTGTTCTATCATTGAGGAGTTTGAGCGCCTTGGTAGTATACAGCGTCTTGTCCATGACAACGGTCATCCTCCCTTTATCTGCTGGGAGTATAACAATGCTATCATCTCTTTTAAGTTGCCGAAGGGCTTGGGTTTCATCCCTAGATAGCACGTGATGGTATCTATGGCTTGTAAGCAGCCCAGTGACCTGTTGCCTTATCGAACTCTTAGTATCTTCATCCCCCCCTATGTTATACATAGCTGGCTCTAGGGCCGCTATGAAATCTAAAGCACTAGCGTCCATCAGGTTATGGCCTATATCACGCTGCAGCAAGGTGAGTTGTGAATGGGTAAGTATTTTAGAAGAGAGGTTACAGACCAGTCCACCCATATAGCTGTTACTATATTTTAACTTACGTAATGCGTTCATCTTGTGACTGAGACGTGTTGCTGTTTCTTGTCTCGTTTTCTTCTCCACCGTCTCAGTATGGTGAATCAATTCTTGGAGGTGATGTCTCGATAACATGGCCTCACATTGCCTTTGGCAATCTTGGACCCATTGTTTCAACGCTCCGACTCGCCTATGTTGGTCATTAATGAGGGCCCGCGTAGTCTTGCGTTGAAATTGAAATTGAAATATTTTTATATTTATACTCTCCTGGTGTTCGTATTTTATTTGTACCACAGACTTACGTTTGTAAACAAAGCAGTCTTGCAATTGTACTGGAGATCTTCCAATGCCCATATGTACTGACTATAAGTAGAAGCATTAAAATTGCATTCATGTTGGTGCATATATTTGTATTGCCCCTGTAGCTCTAAAGTTCACCCATGTAACTAGATCACAGAGGCGGAGAGCCATGCAAGTATTATTGTGAATAGAATTTCTTCTAACTGTTGTCTGAGTCAAAGATCAAGAAGGCAAACCCTTCCATTCTCAGAAAAATGGCAAATGGACTGTAATGTGGTGGACCCCATGTGCTTTGCCTGAAGCAGATATGGTTCAAATTCTGAAAAATCAATGAAAAAATAAAGGTAGAAGACAATAAAGGAACAGATCTTGAGATTGTGGAAAAAATTTTCCCAGTCAGAGTGGACAATACTTTTTAGATTCTCAGTCTGAATTTTCCATAATCTTATTTATTAAAGCAATTTCCATTCCTCTCTCTGAAATCTTTTCCATCCTGGATTTTAAATTAAGCTCATGCATTTCTTCCTTACTTCTCTGAAGGACAGAACTAGAGTATGGCTGACTCCCAAACATCAGAGGCCTTGGGGAGGATGGTTCTTCAGCACCTTAGTGTCACATAATACATATTAAATATGTTGGAAACTTTACATTCCAGGTCTCCTATCTCTGAATAAATTAACAATGAGGACATGCAGAGAGACATAGCAGATAGATCTTTAGTGAATCATGTACAAGTAGTCAACAACTGTGAGGAATAAAGATTCAACTCCAAGGATGTTGGAAGAATTTATTGAAGCATTTGCAAAGGATGGTGAACCCTTCTACTTGTAAGTAAAAGGCCACACTTGAATAATTTCAGCATAAACTTTTATACCCTGCCTCATAGAATTATGCCATCTCCTTCCTTTACAGTTGATAGATCTGGATTAATCACATGCTTTCTGACCACCTAGCAAACAGACCTTCCAATTATTAGATCAAAAGCCTCTTTTGTTCCTGTCTTATCTCCCCTTCTTTGTTTGTGGCATGTTTTGTGACATCCTGCTAACTCAGGATGTAGCTTATCTATAAGATGAGCCTGTCTACCTAAATGGCATATATGGATAATTGCAACAATTACAAATGATTTGTGTTTTCCCTTGTTTATAAGAATGCCTTCTTTTCACCTAGAAGCTACAGTGTTCATGCTTCGGTTAAACACAGCTGTTCTTTGGTTCATAGTTATACTTTAAAATACTAACTTTAGGTAGTATGAATAAAGAATAAACCTTATATAAATTGAATAATATGTCATTCATAAACAATATGCTATTCTACAATACTGTGCACTATTCTAAAAGTATGCTTTGAGTCAGTGTATATAGTCCCTCTCTGTTCCTCCAGCTTACTATATCTCCTTTTCTAAAAGTACCTTAGCTAAGTGCCTCTACATGCCTATTCTTTAACCAGAAATGAAAAATTACAACATGTACATTTATTGTGTATCTCACACAACTTACAAGCACAACTGGGGCCAGAATTTCTGTTGCTAAGCAAAGCAGTTTTTAAGTAGATTTACAACCTTTTTGCACACTTGTTAAGTGAATCACATCAGCTGTTGAGCAAATCACATAGTTCTTAAGTGAATGTAGCTTTCCCCCATTGATTTTGCTTGTCTGAAATCAGTAAGGGACTTTGCAACCATTATAAATATATGTCAGTTGCCCAAACCTCCAATTTTGACCATGTGACTAGATACAACTCTTTTGCTGCAACAGTCATAAGTGTGAGGACCATTCATAAGTCACTTTATCAGTGGCATTATGAGGGTGCAGTGGCGCAGTGGCTTAGTGATGCTGGATTTCTGGCCAGAGATGGTCAGCACTCCAGCAGTTAGAGCCCATGACACTGTGTAGAGGATTGAGCTCCTGTCATTTATCATTAGCTCATGCCTACCAGCAGTTTGAAAGCATGTAAAAATGCAAGTAGATAAATAGGTACCATTCTGGTGGGAAAAGCTAGCAGCATTCCTTGAGGAAGGGCTGGACCTGCCTGGATGTGAGGTGAGGTTGGCAGAAAAAAGCAGCAGATGACCTGTCATGCCCCCCAACTAGCTGGTGCAAAGCTAGTTCACACCCTGTGGTGTATCATGGATAACATGCATGCACAAACAAAATGAACTAGCAATCTTAGACTGTCAAAACTACTCTCTGGTAGTTTGTAGATTTTTCATGGATATGTAGTTAAAAAAGAAAAATGGCATTGTAACTTTGAACAGTTGTATATCCCTGTCTAATTCATTGTTGTGAGGTATGAGAGGTAAATAATCTTTTTTCCTGAGTTTTGAGTTTACCATCATCAAATTCAGATGAAAAAGCCCCAAATATTTAACTGAAATCTGCATTCAGCAGGAAACCAATTTTTGTTCCCAATGACTGTTGGAATGGCACAGATGAAGGACCTAAGCAAACAAGTAATTGTGGCAATTGTTCTAGTGCTAGACAAATGTGCCCATCTAAACCCCTCAAAATCTACCTATCACAGCTAACATAAAAAGATAGGCATTCATTTTCCAATAATAAATATACAATAAATAATCTGTGTCCCTATGTAGGCATATATTACCGATTATTTTATCCCCTGTATGGTACATAATTTTCCCATTTTCTGTGCTGCACCTCTGAACAATGAAATCAATCTTGGAGTGGGGAAAAAAAGATAACTCAAGTTTATTATAAAAACAGAATCAATTCAGTTGATATACCTGCAATCTTAGTTGTGGGGTGAGAAAATAAAAATAAAGTCCAAGCTCAATGCTGAACAGGGAAGAAAGCCAAAAGTGAAAGGGGTAAAAGTGCAATAATGTCAAAATCTCATTAAAAATCAATAAATAGAGAAACATGCTTCCTTTTTTTTTTAACACTATTGAGTTTCTTTTGTTTGGCCTTATAGTAAGTTCTTCTTTTCATCCTGTTCCCTATTACCTCCAACAATTGAAATATTGGCATTTTGCAGGCTATGGATTTTGGGTTGTTTGTCCATCTTAACAAATTGTCTTGAGAGCACTGGGTAGTTTGTAAAGGTGATATATAAATAGTTTTAAATAAATAAATGCAAGGTCAGGATCAAGAGTACATGGCAGTGGGTTTTTTTCTTCCTGCTTTTGTAACTACCTTGATAACTTTGCTTATTCTAACTTCGAACTTCTTTCCATCTCATCTCAGTGGAGATTTACACCCCTGTTAAGATTTCATATGGAGTCTTGTGCTCAGCTCAGCAGATTACAATCAAGGGCGATAAACAGCTGCAAGAGATTCAGAATGGTATTGCAAAACATGTTCAAAAAAAGATTCCAAGGTAGAAACTGGGGTGGTGGTGCTTAAGCTTAGAGGAAAGATTATAATATCCAACATCTGCAAATTCTTCTGTAGATTGTATGTGCTAGTTTGTCTCATGAATGATTTGTTTTTGTTTGAGATTTATGGCTGTATTTTATAACATGCTGAAGAAGACAAGGATGAAAGTGCTGGTGGATGCATTGTGCTTGATTTTTGCAGCCTAAATGGAGGATAATTGGATAGCGCTAAAATATTTAGAAAGCTAGCATAAAATAACAAAAAATGCATTGGGCTTCCTATTGATCTGGAAACTAGGTTGCTCCATGATGTCTCTTAAGTAAACTAAACTAGATGCATCTCTTTTGCCAAGCTTTTCATTGTTAAACAAAGTTTACATTGGTTTAAATTTATGTCTCTGAATATATATATATATATATATATATATATATATATATATATTTGCATTCTACATGTTATGGATTTTCACCTCCTCTGAGCAAGTGGAGGAGAAAAGTGAGATATCAATCAAGGAAATAAATAAACATACCAAAGCTCAGTAGCACAACAAATATTGAGATTCATTGGCACATGGCTGAATCTTGTCTGGCTACTGATTTTTTTCTTTTCAAAGCAAAAAATCGGAGGAGATGTTCTCGTTGGGCACCCTACCTTGGAGATTCACATTCTGCAAATATTTATTGGCCATATAGGGATCATGGAAATAGTTGTAGGGTATATGCAACAAAGAGTTTCAATTTATTCTCCACTTCATTAAGCCTTTCAAAAAACCAAAAAGATTAGGCTGAGGGGCCGTTGGTGCTCTCTGAGCTTGGTTGTTTTCTTGCAGACATTTCATTACCAAACTAGGTAACATCATCAGTGCTAATAAAGGAATTGGGTATGTTCTCAATTTTGCCTTGTCGATTTTGGTGGGGGTGATCTTAGAGGTTCTTTGGTTAGACTGTTTACTGTTAGCTTGTTTGGCAGTTCCTTGATTGGGCTTTAGTAATAGTAATAGTAGTAAAGTTGGAAGGGACCTTGGAGGTCATCTAGTCCAACCCCCTGCTCAGGCAGGAAACCCTACACCATTTCGGACAAATGGCTGTCCAGTCTCTTCTTAAAAACTTCCAGTGTTGGAGCATTTACTGCTTCTGGAGGCAGGCTGTTCCACTGATTAATTGTTCTCACTGTCAGGAAGTTTCTCCTTAGTTCTAGGTTGCTTCTCTCCTTGATTAGTTTCCACCCGTTGCTTCTTGTCCTGCCTTCAGGTGCTTTGGAAAATAGCTTGATTCCCTCTTCTTTATGGCAGCCCCTGAGATATTGGAATACTGCTATCATGTCCCCCCTTGTCCTTCTCTTCATTAAACTAGACATACCCAATTCCAGCAACCGTTCCTTATATGTTTTAGCCTCCAGTCCCCTAATCATCTTTGTTGCTCTTCTCTGTACTCTTTCTAGAGTCTCAACATCTTTTTTACATCGTGGTGACCAAAACTGGATGCAGTATTCCAAGTGTGGCCTTACCAAGGCATTGAAGAGTGGTATTAATACTTCACGTGATCTTGATTCTATCCCTCTGTTAATGCAGCCTAG